AGATACCGATAGGGGGCCGATTATATCGTGCATCCCTACTCTGTACTCGTGACAGTGTAATGACAATAAAACATTGGGGAAAAAAAGCTTTTCGGGGAGAGGTTAATGGTTTAGTGGCTGTATGGTGCAGAGGTATTTAACTGTCATGCACAAAGTCCTGAATTCAACTGAGTTCAACAGCAAAACCCTCAAACTCTCTCTTGGTAGATCGATCAGATGTTTTTGCTCAGTCACATTCCTACTGTAAACCTTGTAGGGAGCCGATCCAGAAGTGGCGAGGCTGTTGTAGCTGGTTGGCTGATACCTTATTAAAGTGATTTCATGTGTATCTGATGGCAAGGGCTCCAATAGTTTGGACTAAGGCACAAAAATTGGAAGGAGGAGGAACACGAAAAGGGATACAGTTTGATCTGCAGCTTATTGTCCAACAGAACTGGTACTTTATATCTCGCTAATTGAATTGATTATATAGCCTGATCTAAAAAAAAAAAAGTGATGCTTTTTGACCTTTCTAACAGATGTAAAGGATGTAAAACTATGTAGATACAATTTGGGCTCCTATTTGTTGTTGTTTTTTTTCTTCCTCCTCTTCTTATAGAAGTGATTTATTTGTGTGAAACATTGTGAATGGATTTCTCTGTTCACAGCATGAACTATGAACCTACCTTAACTGTTCAAAGAAACAGGCTGGTGGTCTATTTGATTGCCAGCAGGGGTGCCTGTAGTGTATGTGTGTGTGAGGTATGTGAAGGGAAGATGGAATGTGAGTGTCCCTTCAAAGCTTTAGGAAAGACATAGTTTTTAAATCCATTGGTTTTGGATTTAATGGTCTGGTTCAGTGGTGCAGTGGGTAGCACTGCTGCCTTGCAACAAGAAGGTTGTGGTTTCGATTCCCATTTTTTTCTGCATGGAGTTTGCATGTTCTCCCTGAGCATTTGTGGGTTCTCTCCAGGTACTCCGGCTTCCTCCCACAGTCCAAAAACATGACTGTTAGGTTAATCGGCTTCTCTAAATTCTCCTTAGGTGTGAGTGTGTGCGTAAACGGTTGTTTGCCTCCGTGTTGCCCTGTGATGGACAGCAGGAGATAGGCACCAGCACCCCTCACAACCCCACTTGGGATTAAGGGTGTCAGAAAATGGATGGATGTCCCGGTATTGTTTTCCTAATGGAAGTTGGACGAGCAGCTGTGAGTCACTAAATATAAAACAATGAGAACAACATGAAGAAAAGATTGATCTTTTTAGAGTTCTGATAACTTTAGTAAACACTGATACAATAAAATGGTGCATGTCTGGTCAATATGTATCAGCTTGTGTTTTTTGTAGTGACATGACTTTGTTAAAAACAGTTTTTCCAGTTTATACAAACTGATTCCTTTAGGCATTCTTGCTGTGTTTTCATTTGGTGCTCTGCTTTCGTCCAGGTGAAGACGAGCAGCTAGAAAAAGGCATGAGGTCCTTATTATGGATTCCAGCAGACGTGTCCATGTCTGGGGCCACCAGCTGGATGTAGCCGGGGCCCCCGTGCCTGAGCTCCATGCACCTCACACATCACACCTTTGACTTCATGAAGATCCCTGACATCGGTGATGTAATGAATAAATTTGAAGTCCTTGGGATTGTGGGTGAAGGTAAGGATCTTTTTTTTTTATGTAGTATAAAGAGAATTAGATTTCTGGTTTCCTTAGAGGCCTGACTTACTGAAATGTTGACCTTTTCTTTCTAATTAGAGACTTTAACACATACAGTAAAATAAAATAAAAAGTCATTCAGTTTTGGTAATATAAGATTATTCCCATTTATACATCAAAGCAGCCCTCTTTTATTAGATATTATCTTATCCTGAGCTTACAGTAACAAAAACAATGGGAATACTTTTAATGCGCCGAGATAGGACAAAAATCTAAATTTGCAAAAGAATTTTCACCTATACAACTATTTATATTTTAAACTACCTCAACGGACATTTATCCCTTTTATCATGTACAAAAAAAACCAAAACAGTTTAAGGTGAGATTGCCATACGCTTTTAAAAACACCAAAAAGTAAGTAATTAAGTAGTTTTTTTGTATGACTAAAGGGACACACGTCCGTTGAGGTAATTTCAAGTCTATTTTTTATACAAAATGAAAGGGGTAAACTAAAGGGATAAACAGGAATTGACTTTGGATATGCTGGTCTGACAGAACACCGGCTTTGGTGCTCTCTGCCCGGAGTCTTGCTCCAGTCTCCTGTCAAAGCTCTGTTCGACTTTCCATAGCGAGTAAAGCTCCCTGGCTTGGTTAGTAAATTCCAGGTCTGCCATGCTGGGTTGACACATAAAAGCCTCTTCTGTTTGATGACGCATTGAAGCAACAAAGGCGGAGCTTGTCTCCCACCATGCGACTTGCTAGCGGTAAATTAGGAAGAAAAAAAGCTTATGAATGTGGCAACTCTGTCAGTAAACCATTTAAGAAGGTCATAAGAAGTTTAATTATATATTTTGCGCAAGACATCAATATTACAAGAAATATGGAGAGGAAGATACTCTGATTAAATGAAAAGTTGAATCTTTTTGGTTAACATCTGGATAACTACAGTAGTAGCCATTCAAAATTTCCCCACTTTCCTAGATGGGCCATGGCTGGTCCCATCTAAGAATCCCCTACAATTTCTTTTTAAACATCATTATTTGTACTAAAATATTTTTTCTGTCATTATTTGTGGACATTAAGATCTGAAGAGAACTGTCATCTCCTGATCAGACACTGCAATTCATTGAAAGGATTGCGTCAGAGTAAAAAAATATATTTAAGACAGGACAGCACAAAACAAAAGGCTCTAACCAGCGTAGAAAAAGAAGTGTGAGGCCGGGTTGCACAACTGAGCAAGAAGATAAGTACATTAGAGTCTCTAGTTTGAGAAACAGACGCCTCACAGGTCCCCAACTGGCATCTTCATTAAATAGAACCGGCATTAGCCTGTTTGTGCTGTCCTCTGAAGGGAGTAGTACACACCGCTGTAGGATATCTTCAATTTCTTAGCAATTTCTCGCATGGAATACAGTAGCCTTCATTTCTAAGAACAAGAATAGACTGTCGAGTTTCAGATGAAAGTTCTCTTTAGCATTTAATTGACCCCACAAATGTGATGCTCCAGAAACTCAATCTGCTCAAAGGAAGGTCAGTTTGTAGCTTCTGTAACGAGCTAAACTGTTTTCAGGTGTGTGAACATGATTGCACAAGGGTTTTCTAATCATCAATTAGCCTTCTGAGCCAATGAGCAAACACATTGTACCATTAGAACACTGGAGTGATAGTTGCTGGAAATTTAACCTCTATACACCGATGTAGATATTGCACCAAAAACCAGACATTTGCAGCTAGAATAGTTATTTACCACATTAGCAATGTATAGAGTGTATTTATTTAAAGTTAAGACTAGTTTAAAGTTATCTTCATTGAAAAGTACAGCTTTTCCTTTAAAAATAAGGAAATTTCAATGTGACCCCATACTTTTGAACGGTAGTGTATATATACTGAATTATTGAGCTAAATATCCACTAAGATGTTTAGTGATAAACCCTCCCCCGTTTTTCTTATTAAGCAATTAAACTCTTCAACAATACTTAATACTCACCCACTAGAAAAATTAGCATGTAATAAGAATACATTAACTCAACTTGAGACACAATGCCTTGGTATCATTACTAGTAGGAATAAAGCTGTGCTTGGTGTTTATGAAGTGCAGCCAGCTTTAGGGCTCCATGGCCGGAAAGTTCAGTCCCTCTGAACATCTCCTTCTGTCTCGTGTTTTGCCTCGAGCAGCTCAGTTTGAATAAAGATGCAGCAGCCCTAACGCGAGGCCACCCACTTGTCCCAGTTTTTGCCGCTCCTACACCGACATTTAGAATGTGTGTATAATGTGCCACTAGAGGACACGGGGAAACTTTGAGTTAGACATTTAAAAGCTGAGTGCCTCTCCAGTGATGAGTTGTTCTGGAAGGAACTCAGTGCTTTTAGTGCCACATTAAAATATAAAGCTGTACAAGTTTATCAGCCTGTGCCTTCGCACTCATGGTCCCAGTGTTATTGATTTTCCCTATCGATCCTGTGTTCAGTCAATATTGTTAATGATTTCGTGCTAAGTGCTCTATGTTGGTTCACCCTAACAATTAAATGCTCTCTTATGTAAGTATCTCCAAAGTCTTTTTTTTTTATTAATATGGTGGTTTTGGCAAATAGATAAATAGCTTAGCATCTTTTAGAACATAATTTAAAACAGTTTTTTGATTGGTGTAAACAGGTTACAATGCTATACACAAGCATTTATATCCCTGGAAACTTTTACATTATAAGCACTAAATTGAAATTAGTTTATAATTCAATTAAGTTTAGTTCAATTTGTTTATAAAGCGCCAATTCACAACATATGTCGTCTCAAGGCACTTTATAGAGACGCTACTGTGAGATTGGTTAGGAAAACCGGTTGATTGCATCCAGACATTGACTTGAATGTCATCCTCCTCCTGGATGAGCCACCGAGCATGCATTAGTGACAGTGGAGAGGAAAATTCCCATTTAACAGAAAGAAACCTCCAGCAAAACCAGGCTCAGTGTGGGCGGCCATTTGCAAAGGCTGACTGGGGTTCAAGGAGACAGAAGCAGACATAGAAAAACAAGCAGTGATACAAAAGACAACTGTCAATCGGATCCACAGGCGGCCCCCGTCCAGGCACACAGCCAGGCAGACGAGCTCCGACTTTATCTTAATCATAACCTGAAAATATGTCATGCACTTGGAGCCTTTTTTTCTTTAGTACCCGGAAATACAATCCTATACAAGTAACTGGCTTTCAAAGTCACCTTAAGTCATCAGTAACCACCTTTGTATCTTCTTCAGAGGTCTTATTGTAAACATGTATGAACAGCGAAGACCAAGGAGCAAAGCAGCCAGGTCAGGGAGAACTTTCTGGAAAAGTTTGGAAAGTAGAAAAAGAATATTCAAAGACTTTCATTGAAGCCACATGAAGGACAGTGTAGCCAACGTCATGGATCATTTTAATCACCCCATCTCCAGGTCAGGATCAGAACAAAAGGAACTAGTATTCGAAGCAGAAATACAGTTAGATTTAACAAAACATGTAATGAAGATGGAACCACAGAGAACAGTGTTGGCGTCTAAGGGAGGAACCTCTGGTCTTATGGTTCAGTTGGAGCCCAGAGGATGAGGTAGGTTCTAGCCGGGAGGCTGACAACGATACGCGGTGGGTGTTGCCCAGAGAGTGCCAGACCATGGTCTCTCAGAGATCATGGAAGACGCAGGAGATCAGAACAGAGCACACAAAGGGAGGCAGGATAATCCAGAGGGTAAAGCTAAAGCCAGTGTCAAAAACGTCCTCAGGAGTCAGAGCCAGGAGATCAGAGGTTTGAAGAGGTGCTGGAGGGAAATCCAGGATGGATTAGGGGAACAGTTCCAGTTTTGGTAAACAGGTAGGCAGAAATATGGCTGGAGTTCAAAGACAGGTCAGGCAAACAGGCCAGAACTGGGACCGGCAGGCAGAGAGGTCCAGAGGCAGAACAGGTCAGGATCAGGCAATCAGAAATGCACAGGAACACTTGGTTAATCTGGCACTGATGACTGGTCAGAGGGCTGGTTAAATAGAGGTTAAAGCAGGTGGATCAGGTGAAAGGTAAGGAGAACTGGGCAGAGCTAGGTAGGTGAATAAAATGAGTAATTGGACCAGTCATCAGCGCCAAGATCATTACAATCCACTGCCGAATGTACTTGTAATATCAACATGGTGTCGGGGGGCTTTCCTTCAGCTTGAATCATTCAGAGATGACATAAAAATGGACTGAGCTTATAACACGACAGTTCTGCACGGGTGAAAACCAATTATCGTAACCATCTAATCCGACCTACCAAACCAATTCGACTATATGATCCGGTTAAATCATCTCTAGAAAGTGTCTTGTGTTGACTATGTGTTGTGAATTGGCTGTATATCAATAAACTGAATTGAAATTTAGTTTGAGCTGTTTTGTAAAATTTTATTAAAATCAAATAAACTTGCAGGATAAACTTAGATGCCTCTTTCACGTATTTATTTTTTATTTATGAACACAATAAGCTTTTGTAACTGATTGGAAAAAAGCAAATAATAGAACCAATGAAAAATTTACTTTATAGTGTGAAAATTTAACAAAGTCATGATGTATTAGGTCCTTCTAGTTTTACCGTTTTAGATCAGACATGGATGAATTGCGTAGAAGCCTTTACTTTATATCAGAGCAGCGTCCAGTTGAGACAGATAACTTCCTGTGTCCTGGTTTTACCTGAGAAGGAGGACAGAGCAGTTTGTTATTTGGCTGCTCAGTCCCAGACTTTCTCCTAAACCCTCAGGGAACATGTGTGACTGCGAGGGTCGATAACACCACAACCCCTCCGGCTCTACAACGCTTGTGTCCTACTTACTGAACAATCTTTGCTTTTATAGGTTCGAGATGCTCTTAATTCATGATAAGATGTAAGATTCCAAAGACTTTGCTGATTTTAGAAGCTTTGACTCTTGCCTTGCCAGTTTTAATGGGTAAATTAAGATAGATAAGTGTTTTCTACTGGTTCAGTTAATGCAAAGACAGTACTGGAAGTTGTTATTTACATGTTTTCCTTCTGTTTTAGGTGCTTATGGTGTTGTTCTGAAGTGCAGACACAAGGTAAGCTCTAAACTTTGATCGTATTTCTGTTGTATATTTCCCATATTTAAAAACTGTTTCAGAAAGATGATGACTGGTTTTATGCAGGGATGCACCAATCTGGACTTTTTGTCCAGGACTCTGATCTGCTGCCCCCCTCTACTACTTCTAGATAGTACAGATCATTTCTTTACAGGAACTGATATTTCTTCCCATTAGGACTGATGAAATACACCAATAGAAAGTTATCTAAGTGAAGAACAGTTCATCTGATGACGCCTGAAACATTTAAAGCATAATCATACCTATATCTGACTTTATGCATCAGCCTACATTTTCTTTCTTATTCAAATATTCAATAACAACATAAAGAAGACATGGTTCATCTTGTCTCGTGATGTAAACCACCACTTTATAATTGTCTTTTCTAATAGTTGGATAATCTAGAAAATATAGTCCGTCATGTATTTGTGCAATGTCCCTTAGTCTACACGTATACTTTTTTTTTTTTTTTTTAAGGAATCACAAAAAACCAGTAGAAGAGATTGTGTCGAAAATACGAAGAAGCTCCAGAAAATAAAAACATGTCACTTTCGTTTTGGGTAGATTCAGATCTAATGTTCATGAAAGACCTTCAGATTATTATCCCCGATTAATCCTATTTTTTTTTATCCTTTAATTTGATAAACATAGCTTTATGTTAATAAACTCACAGTTTGTGGGGCTATTTAAAACTTTCATTGTTTCATAATACAAGGCTTAAGGCTGATTTATACTCAGAAACCAGGTCGTCTAGGTGTGTCGCAGTGAATGCAAATGTGACCCCGCCCCTTCCACAGACACTCTGATGCAGCTCTCCGAAATTGTCGGTGACCGCAGACAGGAGGCCTCTGATTGGTCAAATCTACATCCACTCTAAACTATGCTTATTTCCTCTTTGGTACCTTTTCGGTTTGTTTTGTATGTACAGTATGAGCGCCATTGTGGAAAACGACTCGTGAAGAAAGACTAGCTAGAAGAGGCTGGGACCCCTTTTTCTCCTGGATCCCCGCTCTTTTTTGCCCTCATGTTCCTCCGCCGTCGCACAAACTTGCCCCCATTTCCTCACCGCGTCATGGCATGGAATAACATAGCGTAGACCACGCTTTAAACTTGGGCACAAATCAAAAATATCTGCGACAAGCTCACTGAGACACACTGCTGCAGGTGTATAACCAGCCCTTTAGTTGTTTGATTGGTTGTTGAAAGGGAGCCAGCAGTTGTTCTTCCATTTGTTTTATGGATATGAATTAACCTATGCTTACACTTTAAGTGCTAAGCTAATCCTGTCCTGGTCTCATATAATTTCTTTAAAATGTGTTTCATGAAATATTTTTGTGCTTTTCCAGTTACTGTTGGGCAAATAATACTTTCAGTCAAACAGGTTCCCCTTAATTATAAACTTTTTATTGAATGGCATGAATAAGGTTTCAGCTGCTCTCTTCTGGGACACCTCCACTTATCCTAATCAGCTCTCAGTGATAACTAAGTGGCCACTAGTTGTCCCAAAACTTAACAGTAGTAGCTAAATGATATCACCTTTTTGCATTTTTCCACATGGTGTAAAACTGATAATAAACTATTTTAATTGACTGAGCTTTTTTTTGGTGTTGTGATTTTTAATTTTTAGTTCTTCCCTTGAGCTTTATTAAGGGTGGTTTGCTTTTAAACCTCATAGTCATTGTAGAAACACATGGATGTATAGTTTAAAATAACATCTACATTAATTGGACAAAAAGGAGAAAAAAAGATATAATGATTTATTTTTGTTAAAGAATATTTCATATTGAAATCCAGCTCTGACTCTTAGATGATAAGTTGTGGTCTAGTTCTGGTCTGGTTACAGTGGAAGTTAAAAAAAAGTTTAACAATCCACTGAAAGTTTGACGATGTTTCACTTTCCATCCAGAAAGAGTTTTTGATTCAAAATGTGAGGAATAGCGTTGAGTTTGTGGTTTCATACAGTAGCCCATACAGTTTTAAAAGTTGGGCTACAGTATAAAACCTTGAACTCAATGCTATTCCTTGAAAATTCAAACTTGGAAACAAAGTCCAGTAGATTGTGCTTTAACTCTTTCTGTAATGACTATGACCTGGATGATGAGAATCTTTACCAGCATGTTACAGTGGAAGCTCTTGCTGTATTTGGGAGGTATTGCTGCCGGAAGAGTGGCCCTCTTTGGGACAAAGGAGCCACTTCTCTTACTTACTTGGTTTTACTCAAATCTGCTAGATGAAGTTCACAAGACTGCTACATAGATTCAAGGCAACTTTATTTGTATAGCACGATTTAGTACATGGGCAATTCACTAATCTTTAATAATTAAAGGCAAAAGTATTGTGTGGAATCTGAAGTACCTTTAAGAAAAGGTTTGGAAAAATCACTGTTTACAAAGTGCAGGAAAGTCCAAATTAAAAAGCATAAAAATTAAATGTCATTACATCATGTTAGAAAAATTATCATTGATGATGTGTGAGTTTATTATACCTTAATATTAGCTGTCTGTTGCGTGTCAGAACTGATGTTTTCCACAGTAGTTTATTTAATTAAGATGGTTCCTCTGTCTGGATATACAGTTATAATCTTTATTCTGTACGTGACAAAGATTTGGGAATGGAATGAGAGCGACGTCCTTGCATCTTGATTCATATGTCGTAGCTAATATACACAACCGAAAGAAATCAGAGTCATTTCCTTTCCCATTGAGTTCCGTCCGGGTTCCGTGTTCACGGGGATGGACGTCTGTGTTTTCGGCAGGCGTAGAGCTAACAGAACTGGCAGCGTTGCGAGGCAAGGGCTCAAACATGTACGGCTGTAAGCCTTCTACACCAAACCAAGCTTCTGCTGCCCTGGCGTCCTCTTCCACAACATCTTCGTCCCCGCTTTCCTCCTCTAAATAAAAATGTATAACAGAGGAGACTCATCCACGACCTCTGACACTAAACTCTCCTCCTCTTGCATGTTTCCTCTGTCCATAGCGTTCCTTGACAGTGTTGTTTCTAAGTCACCAATTTAGTGCTACTTGGTCACAATGTAATTTCCCATTGGAAACCTACTAGCACTAAGTTGCCAACTGGTTAGCAGGATGCTTCCGATAAACTGGCCACAACCAAACTTGTTTGTGAACCTTCCACCATAACAATCCCGCCCCCTTGATAATCGACCAATCACATTCACTTTATTCACTCGTGTAAAGTCGGGCACCACTCGGGAGAATTGTAACGGAAATGCAACGGTTGGAACAGCCGCTTCCCTACAACTTTAACTGTTAACCGTGGCCACTTCCTAAGAAGTGAGCCCAGGGGTATGAAGCTGCTTCTGTAATTCTAAGCAACTTCTATGATCAGAGTAAGATTGCAATTTCTATTAGAATCAGTTGTCATGTCTCCTGGTTATTTAATACATATAATTGATGAAGTGAATTAATTATCTATCTATCTATCCATCCATCCATCCGTCCGTCCGTCCATCCATCCATCCATCCATCCAGCCATCCATCTATCCAGTGTGTCCGTACTGTGTCCGGGCTCTCCCTTAGAGATAGGGTGAGGAGCTCGGTCACCCGGGGGGAACTCAGAGTAGAGCCACTGCTCCTCCACATCAAGAGGAGCCAGTTGAGGTGGCTCAGGCATCTGATTAGGATACCTCCGGGACGTCTCCCTGGTTAGGTGTTCCAGGCTAGTCCCACCAGGAGGAGGCCCAAGGGGGAGACTTAGGACATGCTGGAGGGACTATGTTTCTCTGCTGGCCTGGGAGCGCCTTGGGATTCCCCCGGAGGAGCTGGCCAAAGTGGCTGGGGAGAGGGACGTCTGGGC